GTCAGAACCGGTCCACCTGTGGTCAGAACCGGTCCCGCTGTGGTCAGAACCGGTCCTGCTGCTCAGATGGGCCATGGAATGGTGTGAAAGTGTAGCAGCTTGTTTCTGTGGGTTTGGTGAATTGTTGACGATCAAATCGTGGTTTTAGAAGAATTTCTCAGAGCTCAGTTCTGAACTTTAGACGTCAGCTGCAGAAACAAATGTTTCAGGTTTGGAAAGTTCCTTAAATTCTTTATAATTTCATGTAATTTAACTGTGATGTCCTTGTAGAGTGCAGTGAAACACAAACATATAATCAAGATCAACTCTCCTAAAGGCTCCAGGTTTACAAACATTCTGTCAGTAAAAGGATCAAACATTAAAGAATAAATGATAAACCAGTAAAAGAGTTTTTAAACCCTGAAACCTGAAACCTGAAACATGAAACATGAAACATGAAACATGAAACCTGAAACATGAAACCTGAAACATGAAACCTGAAATATGAAACCTGAAACATGAAACATGAAACATGAAACATGAAACATGAAACATGAAACATGAAATATGAAACATGAAGTCTCATTCTGATTCCTCCCGTCAGGCGGTGGAGCGGGAGCAGGTGGACAGCATCCAGCCCAGGCTGCAGCACCTCAACGCCGTGGGTCAGGGTCTGATCCAGAGCGCCGCCAAGCACACGGACACGCAGGCACTGGAGCACGACCTGGAGACCACCAACCTGCGCTGGAACTCGCTCAACAAGAGGGTACGCCTCTTCGCTTAAACACGATTACAAACYGGAGGAGTCCCTGACACCTTCTGTTTTCAGGTGGCCGAGCGCATCGCCCAGCTGCAGGAGGCCCTGTTGCATTGTGGGAAGTTTCAGGACGCTCTGGACCCTCTGCTCAGCTGGCTGAGCGACACCGAGGAGCTGGTGGCCAATCAGAAGCCTCCGTCTGCAGAGTACCGCGTGGTCAAAGCCCAGATCCAGGAGCAAAAGGTACAGAAGACCGTGTGGTTCAGATCAAGCCTCGTTTTTATCAAATTAAAGTTTTCCTCACAGAACTGAGTGTTAAAGCTACAGGAGGCATTAAATACTAAACAACTAACTGGCTAAAAGTGGCTAAAAGCTAACATTAGCAAATGACTTGCTGAAAAGTTAAATTGGAAAGAGGCTGGTCAAAAGCTAAATGTAGCAGAAAAACAGTTAAAAATAGCAACAGGCTACAAGCAACACAACAATGCCTTAAAGCTAATCGTTACTAAACACTTGTTAGAAATAAAATAAAATTCCTCAAATTTTAAATGTAGTAAAAAAGTAGCTAAAAGCTAAAAATAGCAAAGGAAAAAATTAAAAATCTTGAAATAGAAAATGCCTGGCTGAAAATTTGAATTAGAAATAGGATAGCTAAAAGCTAAAAATTGCATAAAGTTGCCAAAAATAGCAAAAGACTGATTAAAACCTAAACGTATCTGAACAACAGCTAAGAGTAGCAAAAGCCTAGCTATAATAAAAATTATCAGAAGAATAGCTAAAAGCTAAAAATTGCAGAAAATTGCTAAAAATAGTAAAAAACTGATTAAAATCTAAACGTATCTGAACAACAGCTAAAAGTAGCAAAAGCCTAGCTAAATCACAAGTATCAGAAGAATAGCTAAAAGCTAAAACTCTAAGAAAATTTCTAAAAATAGCAAAAGACTGATTAAAACAAAAGTATCAGAAGAATAGCTAAAAGCTTAAAATAGACAAATAGCTCAAAGGTAGAAGTAGCCAAAGGCTAGCAAAAAGCTAAAAGTAGCATAAACGACTAAAACAGTGTAATGAAYGGCTTCATGTGTTAAATTACTGTGAACTAACTAAAAATTCTGTCCCTCAGCTGCTGCAGAGGCTGCTGGACGACCGCAGGCCCACTGTCCAGATGATCCAAGCTGAAGGAGAGCGCATCGCAGCCACAGCAGACGCTCAGGACCGAGAGAAGATCCAGATCCAGCTCCAGAGCCTGTCGCAGAGGTGGTCCGACCTGCTGGACAAGTCCAGCTCCAGGTGAGCCTTCACCACAGGAACATTTAATCGTCTCGTTCCAGACTGAGCAGCGCTTCACCTCAGCGTGTCACTTCCTGCTTGTTTCTTCCTGCTTGTTTCTTCTTCTTTCATTTCATTTGGAAATCTGTTATTACTGCTGGTTTCTGTGGTTCTGGAAGGATTTTCGGCTCCTGGTTTCAGCAAAAACAAACGACAGAGAAATATTTTAGATAAAAACATCAGAGCCAGAGCTAAAAGATAAAGTAYTGATAAAGCTGCTCCTCCTCCTGCGACCCGTTTCAGGCAGCGACAGCTGGAGGAGCTGCAGGTTCTGGCTCTGGAYTTCCACGAGGCCCTGGAGCCGCTGGGGGAGTGGCTGAGCTCCACCGAGAGACGCCTGAGCTCCGCTGAGCCCATGGGAACCCAAACGGCCAAGATCACCCAGCAGATCGTCAAGCACAAGGTACCGGTACCGGCCCGGCTCAGACCCGCTGCGGTTCTGTTGATGTAAGGAGGAAGGAGATGGAACCGTGGTGGAAGAACAGAGAATTTATTAGAAAATTTAGAAAGTTATTAGTTTTAATATTTAGATCTGAAATTACTAAAATATTAAAATAAACCTTCTAAAGGTTTCTAATGTCAATGAAGTAGGGTTAGGGGTTAGGCTAACTTAAAGTAGCTGATGGTTAGATAGAAGCTAAAATTAGGTATAGGCTAACTTAAAGTAGCTAATGGTTAGATGGAAGCTAAAATTAGCTGTAGGCTAACAAAGTAGCTAGTGGTTAGATAGAAGCTAAAATTATGTATAGGCTAACTTAAAGTAGCTAATGGTTAGATAGAAGCTAAAATTAGCTATAGGCTAACTTAAAGTAGGTAATGGTTAGATAGAAGCTAAAATTAGCTATAGGCTAACTTAAAGTAGCTAATGGTTAGGTAGAAGCTAAAATTAGCTGTAGGCTAACAAAGTAGCTAATGGTTAGATAGAAGCTAAAATTAGGTATAGGCTAACTTAAAGTAGCTAAAGGTTAGGTAGAATCTAAAACAAATAGGCTAATTTAAAGTAGCTAAACATTAGAAGCTAAAATGAATAGGCTAACATGAAGTAGCTAAAGTTCAAGCTAAACCTTTTTAGAGGACAAAGGATTCACACATCTCCAAAGCAAACATCAACTTTATTCATTTTTTATTTCTGTTCAGTTTATTTTATGTTGTTTCATTGTTTTATCATTTATTGATGTTTATTTCATTTTATTTATAATTTTTCATCTGTTCTGTATTTTTTAGTTTTCATCCATTTTCTGTTACTGTCGTTTTTCACTTTCTTCATATCACACACACACACACACA